GGCTCCCATATAGTGACTTACAGCTGTCTGAAATTCAGTACATCCAACATCCTCTTCTGGCCTTCATAGGCACTGTACACATGGATATACATGCAGGCAAAACACCCATACACACACACACACACACACACACACACACACACACAAAAGATGGTGTCTCCAAAAATGCATTTCCCTCGTCTCAGGAAGATCTATTTCATCAAAATGAAAGAATAAACCAAGAAATCTACTCTAAAATGTGAAGCACATATGTAGGAGATGAGGGTGATGCTGTAGGGGATCAGGGTGACAGCTGGCAGTCTGCACAGGAACAGGATTTTAAAAACTTCAGAAGAGGTTTCAAGAAAGGTGAGCTGACAAGACTATGATGGAGAATATGAACTCCATAACACTTTGGACTGAACTGTGCCTAAGAACATAAAAGAAGCTATCAAATTGTCAATTTATAGGAAGTTTTATAGGGAAAAAAATCACATCTTACTATATGGCTCAATATGACTAGGCATTATAATAACAATAACCACTGACTTAAGCAAATTTCAAGGTTGACTTTACCAGGAAAACAGGGATGTGGGAAATAACTCTAAGTTGCAATAGAGAATGTTTTATTAATAGAGGCAAACAGCAAAAGGATCAACTAAAAGAGGCAAAAGAAGTTGTTTCTGTAGAGAAGTATGGGGGCCTACATGGGGAGAGAAGTCTGAGTTTTCCTACAGAATTTGTTTTTGTTGTTTAGAGACCGATTCTCACACTTTAGCCCAATCATTTATTTACCTAATCTGAAGATCACTATGTAGTTCAGGCTAGCCTTATACTTGTTGCAATACCCTTGCTTAAAACTTACTGATGCTGAGGTTAGAGATATCATGTCTAACCCAGATGATTCTTTAATCTATACTTATGTAATCCTGCTAAAAAGTATTCTGAAAGAATGACACTATCAATACTCCCAGCTACAGCACAGTGAACAAGGAAGCCATGTAGCCATGGGAACTCTAAGGCATGTCATAACTCCATTGTGTCTGTGCAGGCTCTGACTTGAAGAAGCAGTTACTTGCCCATGAGTATACTGAGAAAATGTTTCTAAGCAACTAAAACATGTGGAATAAAAAACAATGACACTGGAGTCAATTAAACACATTTAGAGAAAAATTATTTAGACACTTGTTAAAGTTTTTGTTTTACTTAAATAGGGGAATAATCTTTTCTTTTTTAGGATATAATTATCTGATATAAATAAACTCAAAAGAATTCCACAGTGGGGCAAATTTTACTTCATATGCTATTTATAAGCTGGATTTAGAGGCGTGTGTGTGTGTGGTGTGTGTGGTGTGAGTGTGTGTGTGTGTGTGGTGTGTGTGGTGTGAGTGTGTGTGTGTGTGTGTGTGTGTGGTGTGTGTGTGTGTGTGTGTGTGTGTGTGTGTGTGTGTGTGTGTGTGTGTGTTGCTGTGGATCAAACCCAGAATTTTACATAGTAGGCAAAAACTGAACTATATCCTTACCCTCACAAAAGTCTTTGTAATCAACCCTGGAATGGCAGTAAAATCATCCTAGGTTCAAATCTCTACTAGAGATTTCACTCTTTATCTGTGGCATAATAACTGACTTTCTACTTTAAGAAGTAATTGGGACTGGGGAGACAGCTTAGTCAGTAAAGCACTTCCTTTGCAAGCACGAGGTTTTGATGAGCAGAAGCCATTAAAACAAAAACAGGCATGGTATCAAATGCTTTTAATATCAACAACGGGAAGACAGGCAAAGGCAGGCAGATTCCCAGGGTTCACTGGTCACCTATCTTAGCCTGCTTGGTAAGCTCTTGGCCAACAAGAGACTGTGTACTAAAATGAGGTGCTCTCCTGAGGAAAATGACACACGTAGAGGAAGAGCACACATGGGAGATGGCTCAGTTGGTAAAAATGTCTGGTGTCTAAGTTTGACCATTTGAGTTTGATCTTTAGCAGCCACATAAGAAAGCCAGCTATGGTGGCATGTATCTGTAACTTCAGTACTTTGGAAGCAAAGAAGGCAGACACCTGGAGCTCATCAGACAACCAGACCAGCTGAATCACAACAAGCTCCAAATGAATCCTGTATCAAAACACAAGGTAGATGCCAACCACTGGCCTCCATATCCACACACACACATGTATGTATATATGGACCCACCATGCACAAATACATGTGAAGAAATGGTATCTTAACTTACACATTTCATACTCTAGCAAATGGCAGCTTAATGAGCATTTTAATAAAAAACGTTTGTAACAGTATTATATTTGGTCTAATCCTAAGTTAAATTTTAACTCTACTTGTTCACATGAGGACAAGAGCAGAACGGAAGCTAAATTCTGCAGTCCCTCACTCCCATCAGCTATTTCTTCGCTTCCTTCTCCAAGCAGACATTAATACAGCTTTCAGAGTAATTGAAAGCTTTTCTATTTTCAAGGTTTTGTTTATCTTTACTACTGAGAAGTACCAATTAATAATAGAGTCACAATTATGCTATCCCTGAGAGAGAAGAGCCCACAAGGAGAGCTTGAAGAGGCAGTAGCTGACTAGAGATGGAGTTGGGGGTGGTGCGGAGTGTGCTTGCTAGGCAAGTGACAGGCCCAATCATTAGACACATCCTTTTTACAGACTGCTTTTCACAACAGCAGGTGTGGGAAAAATAACTTCTTAACCCTAATATTCTATCAGTGCCTTCAAGGGAAGGCTTTAGATTTAAGATCCACCTTCTTTTTAGGAGGGTTCCTATCTGGGGTTCAGTAATTTAGAAATGCAAATAGGAAAGTGAACTAACATTCCTTTGTTTTCTTTTAGGCACTGTATGCTTGCTCTAGTTTCTGTGACCCAAATATCCTTCCTACTCCTGAAGGAACGCATTCATGCATACATGCTGACTGTCCTAGACATCATGCTTGGGGCTTAATGGGCCAATGGGAGGTTAGCCTCCAAGAAAGAGCAGATGCATATCTGGGTTAGTTACTTGAAGACTGTGAGCTGGAAACACCCTTAACACATTACTTTCCTCATAGTAACAGACAATTCTATCTACAGAGCAACCTTAGTTTTCTTCTAGTCTCAGCCAAGTTATATTGTGACTCACTTGTCTACTCTAAAAATTTTTACTCAGTGCTAAGAAAAGCAACAATTAGCCACTGTGGCAACAAAGTAGTTGGTGAACTGGCAAACAATTGTGCCGATGTCTTTACTACTAAAGAATATTTAGTTCGAAGTTCAACATAATAGTCATTATCTCACATCAGTATTTCTAGAACACTGAGCAAAATGATTCATTTGTCTGGAATGGAAAGTGCATGGCTAATATTTTTGTTTCACCATGTTAAATATGTTTCCGTCTCATTCAAATTATTCTGTTGTTTCAATTTCTAGCAGGGATAACGATTCTCCACCAAGTCTTACATCTGCCACAGTGCATCTTTTCTCCTTTCCATTTTTGATCAAGTGTGAGCTCACTATCAACATATTTTCTTTTCAGGTGGAAGCCTTTTTGTTTTTTCTAATGATTTCTTTTTATTTGATTTGCATTGGTGTTTTGCCTGCATGAATGTGTGAACATGTCATATCTTGAAGTTACAGACAGTTGTCTGCTATGTGGGTGCTGGGAATTGAACCTGAGTACTCTGGAAGAGTAGTCAGTGCTCCTAACCACTGAGCCATCTCTCCAGACACCAGGAGTCTTCTTTAAAAAAAGATTTATTACTTTTATGTGTATGAGTATTTGCCTGTATTCAATGTATGTGTATAGTTCCTACAGAGGTCAGAAGAGGGTGTCAGATCCCCTGAAACTGTAGTTACAGATGGTTGTGAGTTGCATGTGAGTGCTGGGAACTGAACCTAGTCCTCTGTTAAATGCAGCCTGTAGCACAAATATAAAAGACCTAGAGTCTGATATTGGGGTTCAAACTTCAAGCTGAAGATCAGAAAAGCAAAGTAGATGGCTACTCGTTCTTACCACTACCTCAGGCTGAATGGGCTGATCCTGCTGCCCTCTCCTCAGTGTGGTTGGAAAATCCTGAGACTGAATGTCTTCCTATCTTCAATGTGGCTGGAGAATGAATGCTGATATTGACTAATGAAGACTCTGCTTCCTCTAGTGCTGGGATTAAAGGGCGTGTGATCCCAGGTGCTGAGATCATCTTTGTGTGAGCTGTTTCTCTTTAGGACTGGATCAATCTTGTGTAGATCTGGGTGGCCTTGGACTCACAGTGAACCATCTACCTATTAATCCTGAGTCCTAGAATTAAAGGTATGTACCACCACCTCCTAGCTTCTGGCTGCTGGGATTAAAGGTGTGTGCCTGGCTTCTATGGCTGATTTGCTTTCTGAATCCTCAGGCAAACTTTAATAAATCATAAATAATATATCAACACAGCAGCCACTGCTCTTAACTGCTGTGTTATATCTCCAGTTTCCTCAACTGGAAATCTTAAACCAGGCATGGTGCTACATGCCTATAATCCTGCACTTAGAGGAGGTAGAGCCTGGAGGACCAACTTCAAAGTTATTCTCAGCCAAATTAGGATAACCAAAAAAAAAAAAAACCCTTTAAAATGTTTATTAAATAACTCTCTAAGTCACTGCATAGCTTGTTCTATGGAACAAAATGGAAAGTCTTCACCATAGAGTTACTTCAAACTATTTATCATAAGGAAAGAGGTTTTCCTCAGAGGTTTCATATTGGGAGGCTGGGTCTTCTGCATGCTGGAGTTGAGACTGGGAACGGCCTAGTGGGAGGTGTTGAGGTCACTGGGAACACTGGACCCTTCAAGACACTACAGTAGTCCCTTTGAGAGACTGTCTAGGCTTCCTTTGCTGCTACTGTGACTTCTCCCTGTCACATGTCATCTACCACAATTCTGTGCATGATAACAGTAAGCTAAATGTACGTGGGTATTTAGTTACAGCAATGGAGAATGAGTGACTACAGATGGATGAAGATATTAACAAACACTCTGCAAGTGAAGGAAAACTCTGACCTGCAAGTTATTCAGAGGTTCCATCTTCATGACTGGGCCCAAGGTGTTGAGAGGCAGAGAGACATCAATGCTCTGGTTTGGCATCAGTGGAGTATGGATGGCCAAGGGAGTGCTTGGGATGACACCAAAACTAGAGAGAAGAGGAGGAACACCCAGATATTAGTCAAGAGGCAGGATTCACACACTCATAGGTTTCCCGTGGCTTTACCATAATGCAATAACTTTTAAAGACAACTAAATGGAAGGAACAGCAGCAAACAGTGTGCTCAGCTGGCCTGCTCCAATACTGGATATGCTGTGACTTCTGTTTCCATTTCATGGATTAGAAAAGGGAGACAATGTTCATAGGCAGGAACTGTTGCTGATGATTCTGAAAGATTCCTTGTGTATCATGTTGCTGGAGGGAAATTATTTCTTTTTTAAATTGAAATTAAATTCTTCTCTCATATAATACATGCTAATACCAGAGTTTCCTCTCTCTCTACTCTTCCCAGTTCCCCAACACTTTCCCTCTCCCCTAGATTCATCCCCTGCCCCGGTTTCCTTTCAGAAAAGAACAGGCCTCCAAGAGACAACAGCCAAACTCAGCAAAATAAGATACAGTAGGACAAGGCAAAAGCCCTTATATTGAGGTTGGACAAGGCAACCCAACAGGAGGAAAAGAATCCTGAGAGCAGGCAAAAGAGTCAATGACATACCCACTCCTATGGTTACGAATACCACAAAAACACCAAGCTAACAGCCATTACATATACCCAGAAAACTGGGTCCAGACCTGTGCAGGCCCTTTGTTTGCTGCCTCAGTCTTTGTGAGCCCATATGAGCAAGCATTGCTTAGTTGATTCAGTGGGTCATGTTCTCCTGGAGGCACAGATTTGATAACCATCTCTATATATATTTTCCATACATAATCTTTCAGAAAAAGAATCTCCTTTGTGAGTAACCCTAGCACTTGGGAGGCTAGGACAGAGGGATCAGAAGAAATATTCACTTTCTAAAGCAAAGTATGAAGAATTAGTGTTATGTCACTAGCTTGATATCCTGTCTGGTCAGTACAGAGGGTAACAGCATACTCTTCTCTTCTCTTGCTTTTTTTTTTTTTTTTTTTTTTTTTTTTTTAAAATTGGTTCCAGATGGATGAGTTTCCATTACCAGTAGTATTGATAAAGGGTACCTTTTCTTTGCCAGTATTTGTCATTTTCCTGATAGCCATTCTGATTGGATGAGGAAAATTCTCAAAATAGTTTTAATTTACTTTTCCCCAATGACTAAGGACATTGAACAGTTTTACATTACCATTTTTTTTTTCCACTGTATTTCTTCTTTGGAGAACTATATGTTCAGCAGTCCATTTTTTTATTAGGGTTTTTTTGTTTGTTTGTTTGGTTGGTTGGTTGGTTTAGTTTAGTTTAGTTTGGCTTGGTTTTGTGAGACAAGATTTCACATCAGCCAGACTGGCTTTAAACTGACTACATAGGCAAGGATGAACTTGAACTCCTGATTCTCTCGCCTCTGCTTTCTGAGTATTGTGATCATAGGCATGTGCCACCATGCCCTGATTTGACAGCAAGATTTATTTTCAAAACCCATTTTGGCTGGGTGTAATGGTGCATGCCTTTAATCCCAGCACTTAGCAGCAGAGGTGGGTGGATCTCTGAGTTTGAGGCCAGCCTGAAGTATTGAGTAAGTTCCAGGATAGCCAGGGTTACACAGGGAAATCCTATTTCAAAAAAAAAATTCAAATGATGACAACGACAAAAATCATTTTGCTTCTCTCCCCCCCACCACCACCACCCTTGTGTGTGCATGTCTGTGTCTAGCTCAGGGCTTTGTGTATGCTAGGTGAATGCTCTACTACTGAGCTATACTTCAAGCCCATAATTTTACCCTTGTTCTCCACAGTTGAAGCTGACAATTGAACAGACTTACAGAGCTTCCTCTACATTCAGGGTTTACCAGTTGGAGCTTTTACCCTCTGTAGAATAGAGCATTCTCTTACTTAGTATAAGGCACACAACTACTCAACAGCAAACCCAGGATGTATGCTTCTTACCTATTCTTGTTGAACTGGATGGCAAAGTCTGTCATATGCTGTAGAGCTTTGTTGGTAAAGTTCATTTCCATATAGATGTGCCCTTGGCGGTGAGTGAATGTGCCCGAGATCTCCAAGCCTTTAGCCTTTACTGCAGGTAGCCAGACCTGACAAAACACAGCACAAAACCCAGGAAGGAAGATTTACCTCCACACTACTTCTTGCCCAACATATGAAGGAAGAGCCACCCCCTCGGGAAATTATGATTATTTTTAGACAACAAACTCTAAGTTTGTGTGAAAGGCTCTGAATAAAGTAGTATTTTTTGAATTTTGAGATCATGCTCAATTATTTAAGAGCCAATTTAAAATAAGTGTCTATGAGGAATTGGCATTTGTTCCTATCTTCTGCTCAACTTGGTCATTTTACTGTTTTAAGTACTGCTGCCAAACACTTATACAAGTAAAAAGCATTCTGGTGAGTAGCACGTTTCTGTTAGGCTTGGAAAAAAAGATTTAAAGGGAAGAAAATTGATCTACTAATGAAGATAGCATGACTGTAATCTTTCAAGACATTCCAGCATTACCAGCACCCCATTAAGAGCAAGAACCATATGTTATGCTATATTTAAGTCTATTCCCATTTCTGACAAACAGTTAACACCTCAGATGTTACTTATATGCTTTTTTTCCCTATATAATTGGTTATGTATCCTTGGTCCCAGAATTCGTAATGTTTCTGATTCATGCTACTCCAAAAAGTCAGAAACTTTATGAGCTGTCATGACCCCTAGCTAGAAAGTTTATGGACTGTGAATAATCATAATTTATCCAGTCACAATGAAAAGAGAAAACATAAATATAAGATAATTTTCATTTATGAGTGTTTTTAAAAAGGGTCAAAAATACCCTGTTGATTCCGGGGGTAAGGTAGAATATGGGAGACTTGGTACTTTATGATTTGTTGGCATTAATCTAATACCACCTTTCAGAAGGCAAATTGGTAATGTGTATTTAAAAATGTGACATGAGAAGCCAATTTCAAAGTTGCCCTATAGATACTCTTACAAAAACATACCAAGATATACAAGGATGTTCTCTGCAACATCACAACAAAAAATGAAGGAAGCACCAGGCAGTAACATAAATGCTCATTAACAGGAAAATAATTAATAACCTAATCTATCAATCTAGTGAATACAGCCGTTCAACAGAATGTGATAATTACAAAACTATAGAAAGTACCAAATCCCATTGCTAGCATTTTAAAAGGATACAGTGGGGAAATAGGGATATGAAAAGGCTTAATATTCTGTCTTATACTTGCAAATTATTTCAATTGGTTGTTCATAGGTATAGCTTTTACACTGATGAGTACATTAAATAACTTTTTTATACATCACTTAATCTGTTTCTTTCTTCCTTTCTCTCTCTCCCTCCTCTCTCTCTCTCTCTCTCTCTCTCTCTTTAAGAAAGGGTTTTTCTGTGTAGCGTGTAGCCCTGGAACTCAAAGATCTGCCTAACTCTGACTCCAAAATGTTGAGATTTTCAAGGCATGTGCCACCACAACCTGGCAAGAGTAACTTTAAAAAAAATGTTTATTTTTTGAAGTTTATTAACTTTATTATTTTATGTGTATGTATTTTGCCTACATGTATGTCTGTGTACCATGTATGTATCTGGTGCCCTCAAAGGTCAGAAGATGGTGTTGGATCTCCTGGGACTTGTATGGATCTCCTGGAACTTGTAAGCCACTATATGGTTGCTGGGAATCAAACCTATGAGAGCATCAAGTCATCTTAATCACCGAGTCAACTCTCCAGCCCCTTAGATATTGTTTAAAGTGCAAAGTCTATGAGGAATTATATCCAACACAGAAGACCTTACAACAAACCTACAAAGTTGTGTCAAAACAGTAAGTACAGCTCAGTTCTAACTCTACAGCTATGCAATGGCTGTATATACAAGTAATGACTCTCAGCAGACAACTAGTGTACATTGTTACAGCAGGATTCCTTGTGGAGAATTAGATGGGGAAGGGAAGAAATCAGAGATGCTGGTCTTTAGGAAGACAAGGCTATACTCTGATTGGCTGGCTAATATTTCTTTCAAGAGGCTAAATGAAACTTCATTTACAGAGTTTCCCATCTTAAATTTATGTCTGAGTGACATCAAGCAAGACAGAGACTGGGAGAGTCCTAAAACACATAGCTAAATAAGAACACTAAAGAAGAACACAGAAGCTGAACACAGCAGCTGTAACTGAATTACGCTGCTAAGTTATGTAAAAAGTGGACTCTAGGAGTGAGGGCAATCTTGTCTGAGACTCAAGCATTTCCATCAAGTGTCCTCCAAAACTCTTTGTCCTAGGTCAGTTTGGCCTTCTGCCTCTCTAACAAGAGAAGAACAGCAAATAGCTGTTAAAAATGGACGGAAGACAAAACTATTTCCAACAGGTGCTACTCTTGTCTCTCCTGTGGGCTAAAAGTACCTGCTTTGAGAAACAGAAGCTAGAAGCTTGCCTAGAGAAAACTCTCCGCTTGCCTAGAGATCTCAGGCTGGAACTCCAGCCTCGCTTTTTCAGTTAATTCTGCAGCTGTGAGCACTTGCCTTGATGATTTCTTTTGCTGGTTCTCCCAACTGTAAGTGACTGACTGATGCGATGTTCTGTTGCCTATCTGTTCTTTCACATCTGCTTGCTACATACTTAATAAATTCACTCATTGGAAACCATAAGCATGGCTATCACAGATCATTCTCTGTACAGGACAGTGGCACACTGCTATAGTTCTAGCACCTAGGAGGCTGATGCAAAAGACCATGATTTTGAACTTGGGATACAAAAGAAAAGAGGTATACTAAGATCTATGAAAATCAAATTTGAGGAACTGTATCCTGGAAGCCATATATAGTACCAATGAGGAAGGGAAAGGAAAAGAAAGAAAGAAAAAAAAAAGCACTTCCTCTATTGTGTATGTATTTGTAAAGTGATGTGCCAGGTTTTTACCAGATACACCTTAATGCTGACAACTGGATGTCTCTAAACATGAGGCCCAAACTCAAGTATTTAATATTTCCAATTTTAAGTCTAGTGGTATTTCCCATGGTTAAGTTCCTCATAGATCCTCCAGTACAAGAACTATACCCCTGTGTTAGTGGAAGTAACACTTGTTAGAAGTAATCTAGGGTTTGTCCTCTGAGAAAGTGTTGTTCATTCTAACTACTTACTGCCTTAGGTGCCACGTATCCGCCAGGCGCCATGCCTATCCCGGTGGAAAGCTCAAACAGGTCATTCAGACCGCTGCTGACCACAGCAGGAGTGGGTGAAGGAGCGAAGGTTGCAGGCACCGATGACGGGATGAAGGACTGTCCTACCTTTGGGGAAAAAAGGGAAAGAGATGAGAAAGAATAGATTATCTGTCCTTAAAATGTTACTTATTTTAACAGCATTGGCAAATCAATTAGAAAACACTGCAGTTACAATATCTGTAACAATCCAATCAGCATATTGTTTTAATTACTTTTTTTTCACCAATGATAAATATACACATGCTTTAGAAGCTTTCTCAAGGCACAGCACTAGGTGGGATGCAAGAACACAGTGATCCAAGGTTTTGTCTTGTTTGTTTCCAATTTTAGCTTCCATGATTCTGTGCAACAGGCCTACAGGTACCCTAACAAAAGAGGAGTTTGTGTCTATAGAGTAAGGGAAAAGCATCCAACTTTTAAATAGTAGTTCCATTCCCTCTTGGGTTGGGCCAAGTCTTACTTCCCATTTGGGTGTTAATATCTAGCAGGAAGCTGTCCTGCGGGAGATGATATTGACACCCCATAGGAACACATCTCTGAGGAGCATGCCTCTGTGAATCCAGAACACTCGCTCAAGTTCCTTCTGGACACCAGGGCCTAAAAGCATTCTGCGGTCAAAATGGGAGGTTCCATTTCCTTCAGCTCTTCAATGTCAGAAACACAAAGATCTCTACAGGTACCACAGCATCAATCCCTAAAGAAGTCCCTAGACCACATGCGGTATGTGACCCCAAGTAACCCTGCACTCTCTCTCTACCCTCGTGCACTGCTACCTAGCTTGTGGTGTGCAGTGCTGGAGAGTGATGGTGGCTGCTCCAATAACATGTGTGAAGGAAAGCATCAAACAGGGCAGAGCTTCCCATGGTGAAAAAAACAGATGGCACTTACTGCCGGACTTCCTCCAATGCCCCCGCCAAGGTCACTGCCAAGCTGAAAGAGAGAAAGGAGAGAGAGGAGAGAGAGGTAGAGTTCATTTAGCTAAGTACTAGATGCCCATATAGATTCTGTAAATTGCTCTACCAAGCCATTGGAAATACATGCCATTTGACTTGTCTCCCAAAGCCTACGGAATTCTAGATCGCCAAGAAACATGATCTAGGGGAACCAAGTGGTGGTAGTGAAAGGGTGTGAGCATTTAGCAAAAACTTGGAAAATGGAGCTGGGACATCATAGGGATGTTTCAGATCCAATTTTCTACCCCAATTCACTGGCACGAATCCAAACAAGATTTAGTGTTTGTATACTCTAAGTGAAAGCAGCATTATTTTTCCTTTATAAAGAAATTTAAGGCGGGGGAGGCAAGCAAAGGAAGACTAAAAATGCTTTAACCTATAAAACCTGATGCCTTACTGAGATGATAGGAACCAAACCAGTATTGAGTTGCAATTTCAAGCTTCAAAAATTAGGGGTGGAACATAAAAGGTTTTCAGTTGAGAATGCTCCATGAGGGAAAAACAGCTAGTACTGAAAGATAGGCATGCATCGCCCCAAACCTCCCACAGTTGGTACTCTAAGGAGAGATGCTGTGATTTATATGGAGTAGTCATTTTAAGGAGGCAAAGTAGAGAATTAGACTAATTGGTTAGCTGACAGGAAAACAATTCCACAGGCTCTTAGTCTTGCTTCTTTCCCCTCAGGGCTCTATAACATACAATTCACCCCGAAGGCAATCTTGTCTTCCATGACAAGACAAATTTAAAAAAAAAAAAAAAAAAAAAAAAAAGAGCTGTTTATTTAGCTGGACTCTCTCTCTCTCTCTCTCAATTATAGAGCTACAACTTTTCTGAGGGGTCTGTTTGCAGCCCTGTATTTGCTTCCTTCTTAGCTGTCATATCTACAACCCTCTGTGAATCACCAAATGGTTTGTTCTAAAAACAGACTAAAAGTCTAATAATACTGCAATATTTCTTGTTTAGAAATTTAGAAATTATTGTATTGTGGTGGTAGTTAAGACAAAATTAGACTGCATCTTTATTATTTGTAAATGATGATTTATGAACTAACTGACAGTAGTATAAAAAATGACATTGTCAAAACCCAAAATTTAATCTATACTCAAAAATAGCGAGGCCTATGACAAAATTTTGTTTCATTTAAGATAGAAAATAATTCTAGCAAGTGCTTTAGTCAAGCCAACATTTCTAGAATGTGGTCCTCACAGGTCACTTAATGGTGTCATTAGATGAAGCCAGATACTTAACCAAATAAAAAGGTCATTGCTACCAACCACTTGACCAACTGAAAAGGTGCCAAAGCCAATAGAAAAGACATTGCACATCTCCCTGGGCCTAGAATGATACATATCTGTAGTATGTGTCTGAAAAGCATGGTATTCTCTCTATGCAGAAAACCAAATATAGAACATATACTGCATGCAAAGCATGAAAAGATGCCAAGCTATGAAGGGACCACAAATTAATCAGGGCAGGCTTTACAGACTGGCAGGAGATAGAAAACACAATGCAAACCTGTACGTATAACTAAGTAGAGAGGAAATTTTTGGAAGAATAATCTGCCTCTGCCTAGAGAACAATGAAGTTAAGATTCAGACACAGTAAAGTGGAATTTTCAAAATGCAAAAAGGGGATGGATGGGTCATTTCTCAACAGCATCCACAAAGGCTGAGAACACAGGGCAGATAAATGCTTTGTTGTTAAAAAGTTGAACCAAAAAAGCTTGCAAAGGCAATGTAACGCCTTTGTAACGCCTTTTAATTTCCCCGTTAACAAAAATCTGGTGTTTTCTGAGACTAACATTGGAACTTTTAAATAGTATTAATAACTACTTTAGTTATACGCCAGTAACCATGACTACTTTCAGTCTTACGCACAAAACAAATCAACCATCTGTGTATGCACATAGCTTTAAAACTGCTACTGTCAGTCTCGTCCTCAGAGACAATGATTTACTCATCTGAAGTGTCATCTGGGCATTTGAAATAGTTATTCTAGTTCATTCTAATGTACATTCAGCCAGGGTCAAAAATACCACAGCAGAGAATTATTAGGAGTCAAACAAGATGTCAAAAATTACTTTAGAGCTGACTTCTATATAAAATGAGAAGTAAGAATATGAACAGAAAGAGAAACCCTTTCTATGGGAGAAGAGGAAAGCCGAATACAAAACCCATGGAAGGAAGGGGCTCTAAAAAAGCATCTCATTTGTCCTAATGCAGATGTGATTTATGACTTCTTAATAATAGGCTAACCCTCCCTTCCCCCAAACCACTCCCTCCTCTGTCCAGGTTTGCAACCCAAGTTTAAAAGAATTCTTTATCAAACTGGTTGGCACATGCTGAGAAGGAAAAACACACTTTAAAAAGAAGCAATTGTTTTACCAAATATTCAATAAAAAGCACAGAGAAGAGGCTATTGGTGACATTTAGACAAAAAGAAATAAAGCCTGCTATGGCTTGGATCTGAAACGTCTCTCACAGGTTATATGTTTGTACATTTAGACCCTAGCTAGTGGTGTTTGGAGGCTATGAAAACTTGGGGGTACAGGCCACTAGAGAAGGCCTTGAGGGTTATACCTGGCCATTTTCAGTTCTGCTTTTTGTTTCCTGATCTGTCAAGATGGAGGAACTATACCACACACTCCAGCTGCCATAAACTCTGTGCTTTCCCGGCCACGATGGACTAAACAGGGATTTTATATATCCCAGAGATGAGAGAAGTAGCTAACACAAAGCCCATTTGTAGTTTTTGAGACAGGGTCTCACTAATGCAGCCCTTGGTGGCCTGGAACTCATTATGCAGACCACACTGACCTTGAATTACAGAGATCTACTTGCCTCTGCCTCCCAAGTGCCTAGCCCATTTTAATTTTTTTCCTTAAGATTTTCATTCTCATCTGTGATTATGAGAATATTATCTGGGAAAGATCTAAACACAGTCTTTCCCCATGCTACTGACCAATTTTATTGGAAACCTCAGAAGAAACAGTCCTGGGGGTTGCAGAGATGGTTCAGTGAGCACTAGCTGTTCTTCCAGAAAAAAGGGATTCAATCCCAAGCACTCTCATGGTGGCTCACAGTCCTAGGGGACCTGACACCCTTTTCCAGGTATGCATGTGATATATAGACACACATGCAGGCAAAATACCCACACACATAAAAATATACTTTAAAAGAAGAGAAAAGCAATTCTGATGATCCTTTTTTTATACTGCAATCCACCTAGAATCAAGAACACATAATTCAGCTAGAATCTGACACAAGTAAGGCCCAAAAGATATGAGATACACAATCAGAAATACAAAGGTTAACTTAATTGTGCTATACCCAGAGTAAAGGAAAAGCACAAACCTCAATGTTTCCCAGCTAGTAAAACTAGACTGCAGCTTAGTCAGACTTTATTTGGAATCTTCCTCTTGAATATAAAAGATTCCAAGGAAAGTTATTCTCTGCTTTAAGAATATGGCAAAGTGGTAGCAAATGTTAGCGGTGAGAGGCAGTGACTAATAGCGAGAGATCAGCAAGGATGGAAGCAACCTAATACATGGTCTTATCAGTCCACCACACTGACAAAATGTAATGAAGCACATAAGCAAGACAAATACCTAGAAGGTTATTATACATCAGTCTTAATGAGACATTAGTTATCTCAGTTTAGCTGCTGGTATGAGGTTCACCTAGTAGGGAGTACTCCGAGACCTCATACTCATCAGGATCCCACACTTTATCAATCACACCAGGACTCATCAAATTCAGATTTCTATTTGTTAACCAGTGAGCTATGAAAGCCAGGAATGAGAAGGAACTGGTGTTCCAACCTTAGGTGTCCAGACATTGTCGTTTGTTTTTCTAAACAAGGTTTCTCTGTCTTGGAATTTGCTCTCTAGACCAGGCTGGCCTCGAACTCACAAAATCAGCCTGCCTCTGCCTTCCTCATGCTGGGACTGAAGGCATGTGCCACCACTGCCTTATCTTAGGTGTCCAGACCCTGTGCTTTAAGTATCTCTTCAAACTGTCCACATTTGACATCCTATCATTCCAAGGACTGTCTTACCAAGGTTGATCTTCTCCATGAAGAAAATAATGTCAACTACAGAACAATTAAATCAGAATACAGGAAGAAGGAAGGAATGTATCAGCCTCAGAGGGGGAAGGGGGTGGTTTCTGTTTTGTTTTGAAACAGGGCCTTGATATACATCCCAGGCATGATCCAGCATGGATAGCTATGGAAAGAACATTTCAAATGCTGAGAACTTTCATCCAGTTTAGCTGATACTTTCAACGAGTAGTGTACTTCCTTGTTCCCCAATCTAAATCACAGGATTTGTTGCCATTAAATGGTACTAAGAATAAGATTAACATTTAGTTATTGTCAAAGAGTGGTCACTCCATCATGTCTAAAGTAATGCTTAATGAGAGGACTGGAGTTAACATTGGATTACACAGTAATAGGTCACTGCATAACTAATCCAGGAGCTGGATATAAAGCAGTGATTCCATAGTGACCACTATAATGTACAAGCCGAACAGACTTAGGTATATTACACTAGCTCTGCAGCAGAACCAGGCAAGGCCACATGTAAGCTCCAGATGAGCTCAGACAGCAGAGGGAAATGCCAGCTCAGCTTGAATGGTCACATACTATAAAATAGGAACACAGAGAACTGAAAAAGGAAATTCTATTAAAGAACAAATCTGCCCAACTCTAAGGGAGAAGAGAAGTGTAACAAAAGAATGTTAAGAGACAGCCACTGATTTAAAGGGGAAAATTCCACATAGATTTAATGACTAGGCCCAGGTTAGCCTCTCCCCAACCCCTTTTGTGGCCAGTCCAGATCACATCTACCTGTTTCTAAAACTCTGGGGCTGTCTGGGTACCTGAAGATACTATCTTAATAGAAGCAAACTTTAAGCTCAGACATTTCTACACTTGAGTCTAGATTCTCATTCTCTTATGTGATGCTTTCTAGAAATC